GTCTCCATATTAACTAACCATTTTAAATCTAACTGTGCACGTCACTGAAGAGGTGTTTACTACATTCAGCGATGGCGAAAATGGGATGTTTTTTTAAACGTCAGTCAATATAAGCAGCGGAATCACCACCCGCGGCTGCAACTAGCTGCTCCAAACATTAGCATGCTAACGCTCATAGCGGTGCAGCAAGGAAAAATGTCCCCCCGTGAAACAACAGTTCACTGGCGGCCGCGATGAAACGTTCCGCTATTTAAACCGGAATGTCCGGTATTCAAAAAATTCACATCATAACAAAAATAAAAACCAGTATTTGGTACAAAACGGTATACCGCCTAGCACTAGTTTTGCTATTAGCAGCACTGTGCCCACCCCTGATTTTAACTAATGACAACAAGTAATAACCAGAAATAAAAACAGTAACGTTTTTTTAAATCAGAACTTGTTCCACTAAAGTCCCAGAAAAAAGTGGAGCAAATGTTTCCACTGCAGCTAAAATCAGACAGTTGTTTTATGAACCAATCAGGTGGACAGGTGTTGTTCTTTTAGTTTAATATCTGGACCAAACATTTGGTGTTGATGACAGCAGACTTGATGTGTCTGCAGTAACTCAGAATGATGCAGTGAGGATGGATAATTTTTATATCTCGTAATGAGATTTCTCTCTCTCTGTGTCTCTCTCAGTTGAAGATCCTGTTGGATCAGGTGGACGAAGCAGTGGGAGACTTTGATGAGTGCATCCGACTCAGACCCGACTCAGCTTTGGCTCAGGCACAGAAGTGCTTTGCTCTTGTGAGTTTTTAACTAAGCTGAAAACTTTTTTTTTACTTGACTGCATTGAAACTATCTGATTGATGATTAAAATTTGTAACTTGATTTGTTAGAATTTAAGGAAAGCCGAAGACATTTTTTTTCTTTTGTGCTTCAGTACAGACAGGCGTACACTGGAAACTACCCGTCTCAGGTACAAACAGCCATAGACGGCTTTGAGGACGTAATCAGATGTTTTCCTAAATGTGCCGAGGGCTACGCTCTTTATGCTCAGGTTTGATTTAAGGAAATTATTTTTACTTAGAAGATTTGTCAATTCTAATGTACTATAAGGGGAAATTAATAGACTGTTTTTCACTTTGATGTTGATCTGGAAGCCGTTTAGAAACCAACTGTTGTTCTTTCAGGCTCTGACTGATCAGCAGCAGTTTGGAAAAGCTGATGAAATGTACGACAAGTGTATTGAACTGGAACCAGACAACGCTACAACATATGTACACAAGGGGTAAGCATATTTTCCTTTTCATGTAACAGAGGATTGTTTGATATGTTAAAGATTTTATTTAGGCTTTTTAAAACACAGTCGCTGATTTGTAACTCCGTTGGTTTTAGACCAAGGCATTTGTCAAACCGTTTAACAAGAAATACACCAAATCTTCACAACCTGCTCCAGTGTGATTTAAGTAAAGAGCTCCAGGCAGCTCTTTATGCTAACATGCTAGCACCTAGTGATGAGCAAATTAATTTTTAAATCTTGTCACTCAAGCTTTTCAACACTGTCCTCTTTGATGCCACCTTGTGGCCAAAAGTATGAAAATCTGCATGAACCTCTTCATCCTGACAGAGTTAACAGCTTTGTAATATCATGAGACGTTTCTGTCTGATGTCAGATTGTTTTTTTTATTCTGCTTATATCTTGTATTTAGAATGAGTGAAAGAATAAAGTTATGCTTGTTCATGTTATATTATAAATAAAGTGTGCCATGACATGATGCCACTGTGACTTCTTGACATTTGTAAACACAGATTGTTAAAAAGTTATAACTAGTGTTTTTACTTTTCCTGGAGTCAAAAAGCTTATAAACTGGTAAACTAAGCACAGAGGTCTGTCTGGCTCTTTGTCTCACTATAAGTTTTATATTTTATATTTGTTATACTTTTTGCTAATTTTCCACCACACCACACCATGAATCCAGCTGGTGATTTACTTCCTCATAAACCTTTGAATCTGGTACCAGAACAGTGACGTGACTTCATCACTTTTGAAGTTTTGGACATCACTGATCACAGACTTTTGTCAAACGAATCAAGCACAGAGCTTCAGAAACCCATGTGGCACTTGTTTTGTTTTCATTAAGTTTTCTCTGTGCAGCTGCCAGGCTTCCTGACTCCAGTGATCGAATTTAGATGTTTCTTATTGTTTCTGTCTCTGGAAGTTTGACAATTTTTAGTTTACTTGAAGATTTCTGCTGGTTTAAACAGACAAAGTCTGCAGATTTTTACTAAGTTGTTAAAATGTAAACACCTGAAATGACTTAGGTTTGGATTTAAATAGTAAATTTATTTACAGGCTCACATCTTTGAACACAAAAATTAACCAAGCTGAAATGATATAGATTTTTTTGTTTGTTTCTTTTAAACAATGAGTCTTTGATGGATTCACAGAAACTCCATTAACAGTTCAGTTTATGTCCAGTTTGTTGCAGCTCCAGTGGAAACAAGACCTGGACTTGGGTCTAGAGCTCATCAGTAAGGCCATTGAGATTGACAACAAATGTGACTTTGCCTATGAAACTATGGGAACCATTGAAGTCCAAAGGTGAGATTAAAGATAGCATTTTGAGTCTGTCTTTTTAGAGTACTGTGCCTAACCAGAGCATTTTTCTCTACAGGGGAAATCTGGACAAGGCGATAGAAATGTTCAATAAAGCCATCAACCTGGCCAAGTCAGAGATGGAGATGGCCCACCTGTACTCATTATGTGACGCGGCCTACGCTCAGACGGAAGTGGCCCGCAAGTACGGACTTAAACCTCCGACACTGTAACTCCTCAGCCAGCTGAGCATCAGTCTTCATATCCGAGTGTGAAAACTGAGATTGTCCAACTTCACTTTGATGCATTTAATAACAAAATAACAGAATCTTTAGAAAAATTAAAAAAAGAATCCTGAGTATGTGTTGTGTTGAGATCACATAAAGGGTTAATTTGTGAGAGATGATTACGTTTCAGAATCGAGCTGAGGCCACAGTCCAGGTCTCTGGTTGTGTTAGGGGTCCAGTGCTGACACTTAAATCCAAGACAATACTGTTGAATTCAGAACGAGCAAGTTAAAGGATGTGAAACATGGAAGTATGTGCAGTTTGTTGAAGCAGTTGTTGCGGAAAATGGTTTTGTAAAACTTAAATCCACAGAAAATACTGTGAGAACTTTAGGAAGTTCTGATGAACTTGGTAAAAGTGTTTTCATATTGTAAAATTAATCACCAGTTCTGAATGCAAGATGACAATTATAGTTGTGAAATGTCTGTATTTGTGATGGAACAGATACTGGCCCACAGGGAGGCCGGTTTAGTTATTTT